AAAGAAAAGATATATCCAATGTTTTTGTATTTTTTGCTTATCAAAGAACATTTAGTCCTGAGATATACACGTGCACAATACATGTGCTTGCCGTGTGCCAAATTTGACAGCTACACTGTATGCCCGATACCACTGTAAGGGCTGCGCAATGGCTACACGAAAATAAGTTTTTACAGCAGAATGTTGCTTGTATTGTGGCACTGACCTTCGACTTAAAGATATTTTCATTTCAAACATCTAACTCCGCGTCAGGCACTTTAATTGCTTCTTGTCTCGCCTGCACGAGACTTCAGCGCAAGGCGGGAAAGGCAGCTCCAGGCGGCCAAACCTGTGACGTACGAGACTTATTACTTCCAAATATGGATCCAGGCGGACACAGCTGTGACGTGTGACTTCCAAATATGGAAGCGCCCCAGGCAGAATTTTGAAGAACGCCCCCGAGTTGCCACTGTTCGCTAGAGTCTGGTATTGCTACTATGGGTTATATATGAAATCAAGATCGAGCTGACAATACCGGAATCTAGAACCTAGGGTACGTCTATCATGACGAAAGCAGAAAAAGAAATACAATATATATATAAAAGTATTGTTTATATAAATCTGTTCCGTCACAGATTCCTTCAACCACAATACAAAGTATCTTAGGAAAGATTTCATGAAACATTAACTTACAAAGCACCATCACAATTTCTAGGAAGACAAAGACTTTTAAAGATGCATACATATGCAAAGTCAATTTTTGCCAGCCAGCAGATAGTTTCAAATAATATAATTAAGAAAATTACCAAAAGACATTGCTTAATATTCACCGAAAAATGATATTTGAACAGATTTTGCTGCTAGCTTTTTCTCTGTTGTATATGAAGAGTGTAGATAATTAGGTCAGATACTGTCAAGTAGGATAAATTTATGACCGAAAAGTTAAAGAAATGAGTAGTTTAAAGCTATTTCATGGTTGATGAAGTGATTTATTTATTTGGGGAAGCGTGGATTCCCAATAATGCATATAAACCACTTCTACTAGTAGCTTGTATGACTCAAATAAATTCCACAGGCCAAAGGTTTTAAACTGGCTTATTGTCTTGAAATTCACAGGAGTGCAGGAGTGAACAATCTTACTTAAATACAGGTGGAGTTTTAAAATCAGCTTGATCGAACCTTTTTTACAAAAGTTATATGTATATATATATTTTTCTTTTTTCAGCACATATGCAACACTGATACCACATTTCAAGGCAATCTGAAAAGCCTTTTGTCTTACAACTCATCAATCAATCAATCTCACTGAAATACTGAAATACAGATCCAGTTTAAAAAAAAAAGTTTTGGTGAAGTTATGCCTTTTTTTTATTTGACAGGAGTGTTTTCTGCCTCAGAATTAAGTCTTAGGCATGTTAACAGTCTCATTTTTTAAACTAATTAGATATGCACAAGTGTTCCTTTGACATTTTCTCCGTCTCAAAAATATTGTTAGTTGATTACATAAAAATGGTGGTAAACCTGTTATTGTATATTGTGTAGTAAAGTGTTAAAAACGGAAATAAACTCATATAATAGCAGTTTGTCAGATTCAATCATTTACCTTCAGAATCTCAGAATGCAGCAATGGACATTTAATATTGATATTTTCCCTATGTCAACAATTTTCTTAGATGATCTTTTAAAAATGACAGTAAAATAATTATTTTGTTTTATGTAAAAAGATGTTGAAAATGGAAATAAACTCATTTCATCACAGTTTACATTTTGGCATTTTCAAGGTGTGACTCTGAACTTTCATTTTCTGAATATTCATGTACTTTTATTTTATTATTTAAAATTGATGGTCAGTATGCTGTTAAGCATTATGTAATTTTGTATCAAAAATTAAGTGGGCACTGCCCCCATAGTGACCATTAAAGGAAAACCATGTCACTTACTCTTCTCAAACTTACAGAAAGGTAAATTAGGACTAAAATACAGCTACAATTGAAAAACCTGTCAACTTTTCTGGAAATTATATAGTTTATTGTTAAAATTAAAATGTTGTGAATTATTGTTTTCTGATTTCTGTCTGTGTATTGGACAGCTTTGCTGCCTTGTTTTTATTTTTGGATCTGGTTGAATATCGGGGCATAGCAGCTAAATATCCGATAGACTGTAGACCCTCCCAGTGATCATTAAAGTCTATTACAATGTTTCTTAGAGCTTATCATAATTTCTTTAACATGTGTATAAGAGCCTATTATAATGTCGCTCACACATTTTTAAGAGCCTATCATAATGCCGCTAACATATTTGTAAGAGCCTATCATAACGCCACAAGCATATGTTTGTTGGAGCCTATCATAATGTCGCTAACATGCCTTATGTATTCTTAATTTCAGGTGCGCTGTTTGGATATTTATATATGCATTCTCGAGAGTTAAGGAGGTCCTTCCATTTTGATGATGATTGTGACTGTAGGTGGCTTTAATGTTAAAATTATGCTTAAACAGTCCCTGAAGAAGGCGCTTTGCTGAAAGTGTGGGTGTTTTATATCTACATGTGTAATTTCAGTTGATCTTTATAAATGCATTTGAGCCTAATTTAAGAATTAAAAAAACAAGATCAACACATGGATTATGATGAATATTTATTGTTTTAGTAGAACGCATAAATGATTGATCTGGAATTGAATGGAGAGAGAATTTATTCAAAAGATTCATATTTCTACCAAAAAAATATTTTTGCATCCTCAATTTGCATTTGAGGAAACATTTCTACTTTCGGAGGATTTGATTGCTGACAGGAAATACTGCACTTAACCAATCCCACTGGTGTTCTCAATATTGTTTTAGCGTGTTTAATGCTTATACCACGAAATACAGGCACGTTCCTGATATGCTTTCAATTTTATTTTGTTTAAACTTGTTGTTTATTAGTCGTATTAGTTCTTTTAACAATGAGAGACTATCCTCAGAACATTCTGTTCCAGCAGCAATTAATTAATATACATTTTTAAGAACTGCTATCCTTTTAAATAGTTTCTTTAAATTGCTTAGTGACTATCATAACATATATATTCATACTATACATTTTCCTTGTTTTCAGCAATTCATCATGATGACGTTCTTGAGCCAGCAAAGCACGGGTCTACAAGTACAACATCGACTCCCGCATGAATCCAATGACTGTATTTGTTACTAGTAACAATAAATGATATCGCAAGGATTTGTGAAGCTTTGTTTTGGCCTATTTGACCTATGAATATTCATCACCTGGTCCATAACTGAACTGAGTACATGTGTCCAATATCATTGACCGAAACGTGGCGAATTTGAAACTATACCCTAACTTCGTTTAACATACTTACAGTGTGACATAATGTCAAACCCCATTAAACAGCTTCTTCAAGAACTCTGACATGACTTTTTAGTTTTATTTTACAAATATAGCACTTTTTTTTGTTACAAGGTGATGTTGCTTTTCTTGATGTTCATCCTCTAGATCGTCATCACCATTATTTCCTAGTGGTACACTGTATTCACAACAGCGTCAGTGATCTATGTTGTCGCTACACACACACACACACACACACACAAACACACAGTGCTTTTCGGCTGTCAGATGGACACATATAAGTGTGTGTGTGTGTGTGTGTGTGTACTGTGTGTGTGTGTATGTGTGTGTGTGTGTGTGTGTGTGTGTGTGTAATATTAGTAAGTAACAGTCACCAGTGAATAAGAAGCGGTGATTTTTTGTGGTGATTTTTGATTAAGGCCATCATATGTACAGGTGTTAGTAAGACGTGTATATGATGCAGTAAATTGTGTAACTTTTGTATGAAAGCGGTAGAATCTATTACACAGCTTATTTTTGAATGTAAATTACTCCTTTCTTATGAGGGGTACTGTTAACCATTATTTTTATCAAATTCAGAATGGAATTTCTCATTAGTAACAGAGCTAGAGTAATGGGAATTATCGGCATCTACTTTATTAAAATAATATTGATTGTGAAATACTGCGTTAACTCATGTCCCAAAAGGTGTTCAAATCTATTTTTTGCGCAGCCAGAACATATTCGGAGAAAAGTTAATCAATATAATCACAATGATGGATTGGATTCTGAGAGGATTTTGGATTCGGGACGGTAAAAAATAAACATTATATTTGATGGTATAAACGACCATGCGACTTCTATTATGAATTTGAACAAGGTTTATAGTTCTTCAAAATCAAACGCTTGGAGACTGTGTATAACATCGTTCTTTCATTTTGAACTGTCTATACATATCCCCTCAATTACCGGCTGTCCTGTCTGAACCAGAAAACATAAACAAGAACGCACAAGACAAGTGTCTGTGTGTGTAGGCAACACGTACATGATGATCACCTAACACTTCCATACCACCGTTTGTTTCTAGTAACATGTATAAGCTACTTCAGTCTTATTTAGTATTAATAGTATTATTTTCAGTATTATTGACTTTAGATTCCTGCCAGCCAGCGTACCTCACACGTACCTGTTAGGCCACAATTTTTTTTTTTATTTTTATGGATGACATCCTCTGGGGACCCCAAAATCGGTGCGAGCGGGCGAAAAAAAAAAAACAGTCCAAAAAAAAAAAATAAATAAAAAACTGATTAAGAAACACTAATTTACCACAGAAACACGTATCAAACTAACAACATGTCTTTATCCATGCTCTCAAAATATTAAAGCATTGTGAATAGGGCCTACTTCGTAGAAAGGTAAAAAGTCATGAATATATATGCTGCATATTACCAAATCTATTTAAGGCTATTTCATGCGTTCTGTTGGTATAGCAATCAATAAAACAAATATCAAATAAACAGCGTGTTTTTATTTATACTCTCAGAAAATTAAAGCATTGTAAACACTTCACAGAATTGTTAAAAAATGAAGCAAAGATAGGACTATGCTTCCTACTACCAAATCTAAAAAAGGTAATTTCGGTCGATGCCATTTTGTCTACTTCGACTAACGCGTAGCAGCCAACTATGGGGTGGCCTGTCCGACCTTCAGTCCACCTAATACCACGACGCTCTTGTTGACCCTTTTTTCGCTACAAAAAAAAAAAAAAAAAAAAAAAAAAAAAAAAAAAAAAAAAAAAAACCTGGTAGGGGGCCTATGTGCTGCTTTGGACAGAATGTCACTGAAATTTTCCGGGCGATGATCGCTGGCCGCGGCCAGCCTTTCGTATAATCGTAAAAGGTTGATATCTTCATGTCCAATATCAATGGCAAACCAATCCAAAACGACGCTCCCCGTTCCCTTTATGACTTTAATTGTCATGTTGAAATCAATGCTAGAGATGAATTTGACAGCGGTTATCCTAAAGAGGGGTGATTTCGATCCCGGTGAGCATGAACGGTCTTTGCAGGTCCTTATCTAAGTCTGATGTACATGTTCATATAGTCTACTGTACTCTACACGGTTGAAATGGGTCTCATATTTGTAATCTGTGTGTGCATAAACGATTAATGACTTTAGTTAGACCAACTTAGTTTGGTGATGCTGAAAAAACGCAAGTTGATCATATTTTGTGCACAACTCTCTCTCTCTCTCTCTCTCTCTCCGCGATAAACAACGTAATCACATCCAGAAAACACATACATAAAGCCAAAATAAGGAGTGCTAACGCATGAATTTCGTACCATTTCTTTCCTTGCCTTCAGAATCATAAACACAATCTACCTGTACGTCGTCTGCCCAAGATAAAGCCACATGAAACTTTGCCATTACACATGAATTAAAAAAAAATCCCAGTGCTTTATTAAATTTCCAGATTTATAACAGAAATCAAAATGATAATAGGCTGATATAAGCCATGGTGAGAGGCAAGAGAGTGCTCATTACCGGGGCGTCCTCTGGAATTGGAGAACAGGTGGCGTACCATTTCGCCAAGAAGGGAGCAAATCTTGTTTTGACGGCGCGCAGAGAAAACCTCCTAAAAAAGGTCAGTTACCGGTAATAAATTAAGACACGTGAGGGAAGGTCAACCTTCAAATAAAAGCTTTGAACTTCGTATCTTAGAAAATATGCTTTATTAACGATTTTGCATTGCATTTTGTATTGTTCCAATACTGAAATCTTTGAATCTAATGCTTTTATCGCTTTGCCTCCATTCCTTTCGAATAAACATTGTTTAAAAAAATTAACGATTTTATTTTCCTTTACAAAAGCTGCTCTGTAATTTACTTATTGGTATTGCAATTTGAACAGTTGAGTGTCTGTTGCATTTTTTCCATAATAACGGCTTCAGTTCATCGCAGAGTGTAACAAGTTATCTCCGGCACCTGAGCCAAACCATGTGTACACAGTAGCTGATCTGAGAGACATGGAGGAGACAGCTAGGGTAATCCAGGTACACAGTACGCACACACACACACACACACACACACACACACATTGACCTGGGAGACATGGAAGAGACAGCTAGGGTTATCAAGGTA